TGGGTTATACCCCCAGACAAGTATAGTCTTCGTCTCTTACCAAAGAAACTTTGCTCTGATGCAGACCATTTCAGAGTACTACAACCAATGGATTCCAGTCACAGGGGATACATCTACAAAACACTCTTGTGCCTAAGGGACGGGAAACATTGCAGATGAGGGGACAAAAAGATTGTAAGAGGCAGAGGATCAAGGAGTTCGCTGGGAGATCATGGCTCCTCAACAGAAGCTACACCCATGAAACCTCACCAATATGACTGCCCAGATGTGAGATGAAGAAGGACAACAGCAATGGACATGCTAAAGCAGACCAGGAAATGCCCACAGAGCCTCAACCCTACATAAAAACTATAGACCACTGAGGAATGCCAGGGGCAGGAGTGGTGGTCTTCTCCAAGGAAGTGCACACCAACTGGTTGTCCTGTGCTAAACAGCCCTGAAAACAAGCTTACGAGTAACACTGTGTGGACTGAGAATGCCATATTTAAGAATATATACATATATACATATACATATATGAACGCAGTAAAAATCAGTGAGAAAAGAGGCCGGGAAGTTGCAGGAGAGTGAAGAGTGTTATCTATGGAAGGGTTTAGGGGAAAAAAATGAAGGGGAGAAATTTTATAATTATAATCTTAAAAAATTAAAAACACTAGCATTCATCTATTAAGTATAACCTCTTAAGTGATTAATGTAGGCTGTTTTTCAATGTATTTTAGACACTCTAGATTTTTCTTACCTAAAAATCAGTGTATCTCTCTTATGGACCATACATAAAGAACTACATTCATCAATGTTCTAGACTATTCATATTTCAACTAACTGTAGTGTTGTGCTTTCCATTGTTTTATACTAATATTTAGGAAAGATCAGCAATCAAAATTTACACATTTGTGAACAAGAACACATATATATTTCACCACTCACATAAAACTCAAGTCCACAAAGATTTTTTTACATTATGTTCTGTTAAAATTTATGTTTATCAGCCGGGCGGTGGTGGCACATGCCTTTAATCCCAGCACTTGAGAGGCAGATCCAGGCGGATCTTTGTGAGTTTGAGGCCAGCCTGGTCTACAGAGTGAGATCCAGCACAGACACAAAGCTACACAGAGAAACCCTGTCTCGAAAAACCAAAAAAAAAAAAAAAATTTATGTTTATAAATACATTCTAATCAAATGTCACTTTACCCTATTTACCTAAGGAGAGATTAGTACTCAAAAGAAATACCCCTAAAGGACTCAAGTTCAGGACCTTTCAGAAAAGAAACAAAAGCCTGACCGAGGAGTGGAAATAAGGCAGATAAATAAAATAGAGAGCTAAAACAAAGTTGAAAAAGAACAAAAAAGGAGGAGAAAGCCTGCTGCTCAGTAATTGTAATTCAGAGTGTACTTGGCGTTTGTCTCAGGACAGCAGCTATTTCCATTATTCAGAGTCAACCTACGGTCAAGTACATAAACATAGATTTGCTAGAAGGCAAAGATTTAAAGCCCAGGACTCACGTTTCTAGTCCTACTCACTCCATCGCTCCATTTTATGCTTCATGAGTGTAAATGGAAATAATGTCTAACCTCTTCCAAGAAAATGGTCCACAGACCCTGCAGATAAACATTTATGTTTGTGGCAGGGATGAAAGGGAAGAAGAACTCAGATTCCTTGAGTCTCTCAGGCCTTTGGATATTCTCATGAGTAGACAATGAATAATAACACCAGGTAGACACAGATGCCTAATGAAGATCCCATTACTTTGATCCCAACCTGAGGAGCTGAGTAAAGTGGGTTTGAAGGAATGATTTTACTAACTATTTGATGATGAATCAAGAAGCAGAAAGAATACATCTCCTTTTCTTCCTCTGTTTTTCATTTTTTAAGACCATACAAATTATCATTCTCATTAAAATATTTTCAAATGATTTGATTTCTCACAATTTTTCCAGCTGCTCCCTAGTGTCTTAAAAGAATATGTTTGACTACCTAAGATGATAGACAACATTTACTTGAAAAGACACTGTATGCTATAAAATAAGAAAAGATTCTATTTGAGTTAAGTGAAATATGAGCCGTCTCTATTTTCAAAAATACATACAGATTCGCTTTAAGAAAAATGTGCAGTTACATGCTGAAAACTGCACCTGGGAGAGTGAGCACTCCACTGGCTCTGAACTTCTGCCTTTCTTAGAAACGCAGCACAAAATATCCTGCAAGAACTACAATTTGAGAAAAAATACTTCTCATTGAAAATATAAGGCTGATGTTTGATTTTTGAGAAGATTGAAAAGTGCAATGTAAAGTTATAGCATAAATAGGCTAGCATTTATATACATTTGAATTGTTTTCCCTCTCACTTCATAGACAGATTTAACCATAGTAAGTTACCTGCTCCTGACTGTGTGTAAGTAAATTTGACAAGCTTTGTTTTTATTTTATTCCCAAATTGTCTTTTTCTAGTTTACACATAGTAGCTTATGACTAACTTTGTGTTCTCGGCTTAAAAGACAGCATCTAGATACTGTTGAAGATACAATTTGGAATTAATGAAAAGAAATGTCTTAATAAATCCCTTTTCTTGAACTCTGGACAGTTATACTTAGTCTGTTCTGTATTTTATTGTTATTCCCAATAGATAACAAACAGTACCACACCATGTGCTAGAACACTGCAAGCCCATCTCATTAGCTAAACTACGGCCAGAGTCCCCCTTCACTTCGTTATTCAATAGCTTTTATGGCTTCTCTTTTTACTCTAGCAGTTTCAAATTGTGGTTAATGCACTATTTTTAGGCATACTTAAAACAGTGACAGAACATGAATTCCTTCAGGGAGTTAGTTTATAAAATATGGTTTTAAAACAATTACACAGGTCTCATGTCTTCAGGCATTGTAGCCTGTAATTAATGAGTACAGTATAGGAAGACAAACAACATTATCCTAAGAAAGATACAGTGTGTAAATTATGCCTTGAAAGTTTCTATGTAGTAAAACATGTGAAAGAATCCAGATCATAAGTTCCACGGGTGTCCTGTTTTATTGTCATTTTTTTTCACTCAGTTTACAGTATCAAAGATCCTTTGTGTGTGTGTGTGTGTGTGTGTGTGTGTGTGTGTGTGTGTGTGATAAAAATGTATGACTAAAAATTAGGTTCTACCATGACAGTATTTCTATTAATTGAGGTCAATGAAGAACCTGAGTTGTTTAGCTCTAGAGAGAATCTCACAACACTCTCAATCAGCTGTATAGAGATTATACAGCCTTTTTTGCCACAGTAACCAAGTTTACCAGTAATAACTTAGATTATATAAAAAAAATAGTAGTTTTACAGAACTGTGCTTCATTAACAATCAATTTCTGTTATGTTCAGACCTTAGTCACCTGTATGTCCTTTGTCTTACAGTCATTAGATGTTATGTTCTCATTTTGGCCACTACTAAATGTAACCGAATCTATATAACTTCAGTAGTTTTCTTACCATAACCACTTTTCCTTTGAGCTTAACTGTTTTCTCTAAATCAGGAAACAGAGTGGTAGAGATGGCCTGACACTTGAGACCACTCACTGCTCTTCCAGAGGACATGGGCTTGGTTCCCGGGACCCAACAGTCCATGACTCCAGTACAGGGTGTTTGAAACCTTCTCTGGCCCCGCGGGCCCTGCACGTGCATAATGACTATGCATGGCTGTAGGCAGACACCCCACACACTTCTTTTAGGAATGAAAAAAGAAAGAAAGAAAGAAAGGAAGGAAGGAAGGAAGGAAGGAAGGAAGGAAGGAAGGAAGGAAGGAAGGAAAGGAAACGAGCTTTTCCACTTCTTTTCTGCTTCTACCATCAGCGTGCTGAGAAGTAGGTTTTCCAACCAGGCAAAACAACGTCAAATACATCTTAATTTCCAAGTTTATCTTGACCAACGTTACTTTATTATAATCTATTTAACATACCTATTCAGTCTTTTTTTTTTCATTTTTTCTAAACCATTATAATAAATTTTACTGAATTTTAACAACTCCTCTTTGTCCTCTTCAATTTAAATAGTATCTAAGATTTTTTTTTACTTAATTAATTAATTTATTTTACATATCAATCTGTTTCCTCTCCCTCCTCTCCTGTCTTTCCCTCCCCCCATATAAGAGAATTTTAATGATACCAAAATGTGTTTTTAAGTAAAATTGGCATATAGAAATTTCAAAACATTTTGAACAATTTTCTTGAAATGCTATAATCTAAGGGTAAGACGGTGTTGTAAGATTACTGATAAGGGTGATTCTTTAAAAATAAGTACACTAAATTATAGAAGTAAATTAATGATAATTGTGTATGTTTAGACACTTTGAATATCTTTAAAAAGGCATTACTATTTCTAAGACTAAAGATTGCCACAAAGGAAAACAAATCTTAAAAAAATCACTACGTAGAAATTTTTATATAAGTTTAATTTAAGACCAGCATGCTTTATTACCTACAGAAAAGAAAACATGGAAAGTGATTTGAAAATAAACCTCTAGTACTGGCTCCAGATGAACTTCATAGATACAGAATGATTTTCAGTGTTCACAGTAGCGACAGACACAGGAACACACATGTCGGGGGATGTGGCCTGTGGCATGGTGACTTTGCAGAATAGAAAGGCTAGGGTAGCAACTAACGCAGACCAGCTCAGCTGGTGAGAAGTAATGATGCTTGTTAAAACCACAATAGCAGACTGCTCATTATATGCTGTCAAAAAAGTTCCAGGGAGTTCCCAAGTGTCATGAGGTCAAAGAACAAAGTCAGGAAAATCCGTTCAGAATGAACAGGGGTGTAATATTAACAGAAAATAGGAATGTGAGCTAAAAACAAAAGGTCAAGAATCAACTAGTTTGTTTCAAGGAAGACTAAGTATGTATTTGTATCCCAAGGATTAAGAAAAGGGGAAGATATTTCATGGTCTTCCTGGTCTCCCCCAAATGCGAAGCTAATGGTTAAAGTATGACTTTAGGTTTATTGATTATCTTATAAATATTTATTACCTTAGTTGATATTGTCCTCCAGGAAACCATCAGGGAGAAGTGCTCTGGAATGCTCCTCTTGGCTTTCTTCTCAGCATGAATTACAAGGCAAGCATTAATCCAACCTCAATTTCATCTTAGGATTCTTCTTCAAAGCAAATAGCCATTTCTTTATTCATTCTCCATTCATTCATTCATTCATTCATTCATTCATTCATTCATTCTCCATTCTTTTTTATAATGATTATATTTATCTTTCAAATATTATTTATCTTATCTGGTATGTCACTTAAGGTAAAACCAAATATACACATGGCTCTTGTCAATTCCATGCTTTTAACTTTACCTCATTCTTTAGTGTTTGTAATAGGAGGACGTTTTTGCCTATCGTGAAGCACAAGTTACTGGAACTGGGCAGACAGTTTATCTTTTCCTAATCTTTTAGTGACACTTTCTGACTATCATTCTGTCACTCCTATTTTAATACTCCTCTAGTGATTAGAGAAGCAGGTTACCTGAATACAGGATCCTTTTTATATAATAAATTAAAAATATGACCCCGTCTGTTGATTATTCCTCATCTTTGATTTTCCCTTATATTTCAGCTCAATGTAATATAATGGCATTGTTTGCATTTTCTTGGTTTATATTATTATGCAGATTGAAATTTCCATATTAATATCTATAATTTGGCTATTGATTTTAAACTACAACACAGCAAGAGTTTAAATAGCATCATTTTAGTATAAACAAACAGCACTTGACTCTGGAATTTCAATTTAGAAATTTTCTTTAACCTTTAGCATAATTCATGGGCCCAGATTTTTGTAAATATATTATAGTTAATAATGTGAAATTTTGGACTAAATCGGTTTCCCCAGGACAAAGTCATTGTTTTGATTATATTAAAGTACACTTTGATCTTATCCTGTTTACACAGGGTGAAGGTATAACATCTGTGACTCCCAGGAAATAGAAGCCTCTACTCACTTTCTTCTGTTCAGTGCGGAACTCTACCTCTAGGGGGAGCTCTGGGTTCTTTCTAAACCACAGGTTACTTTCTATCATACTTTCTCACAACACCAAAGGAAGACACATTACCAGGGTGAGTGAAGAATGGAGACTGTAATCCAGAGAACTATAAATGCCTTGTATTCCTATAGCTGATACATTGCCATGTTAAATATCCATTTTGATAGGACTTTTTCCCCCCCCAGAAAGCCTGGTGAAAAGAATAACTTATATCCTGCTACAGGCTGATATACAAATTTATCTTGAAAAACATCTTTAAAATTCTAAGAAGTAGAATATAAATGAGACATAAGTAAATCTCAAATTTAAGGTTAACTATCATGTCAAATGTTGAGTTGTGCATGTCATTTATATAAATATTAAATTCGATGAATAACAATTTCAGTAGCTATCATACAGATATAACAGCAGTATTTTGTGTGTTTGAAATAGGCACAGACTAAAATGAAATATGTTTGAATCTATATTGACTACATAAAAAAACTGTGTTATGGCCTTGGAATTCTACAAGTAGTCAAAAATTACAACTGAGTTAATAACAAAATCCTCATATGAATGTCAAATAGTTTTTGTGGCTTTGTTTGAGGTTTTAGTAAAAAAAACAATAAGCACACCTATATGTCGATCAACTCATGACAAAACATAAATTTGGTGTCTTTTTGCTCACAGCATTGTTATTTGTCAACATCACAATCTCCGTGGTGCTTTGGTGCTCAGGTTATCCTAGTCTGTCCATATTGACACAGATGCCATAAAATCTGACTACGGATTTTTCTTCTAATACATTTCATTAGAGTATGAGCTGAGTGTGGATTGCACAAGTCTTACTTACTGATTTACTTACTTAGTGTGCAAGGCAGAAACAAAAATAAGCCTGGGAAACTTCTGAATCCAATAATAAGAGAGATGAATAATGAAATAAATAAACCAAAATGCTTAAAAGATTTAGGAAAATTATCTTAGTGAGGCTTTAAATATATTATAAATCCACACATAAAGTATGTGATACAACTTCAATAGCAGATGCATGGAGAACTGTTAAGAGCTTTGCTAGTTTGCCGATAGAAACAAAATTCTGTAAACAAGTCAGTAGAGCATAAAGAGGGGATCAAGCTAAGGCTGTGTCAAACAGGGATTCTCATTCATTTGTTCACAAACCATCCTTCACGTCTTTCTGTCATCAGGCAACTTCTAAAGCTCCAGTATCAAGCATACCGCTAGTTACTGAAGATTGAGAAGAACAAATGTAAATCCCAGCCATCAAGTGCTCTTGTCTGAGAAAGGTGTACATTTTCTCAAAGGCTGTGATTTAAAACTGAGGGGAGAAAAGACACCTTGGGAGTAGGAAAGCCAAGAGGCTATGTGATTTTTTTTCAGAAGTAAAAAACAAATGGAAAAGAAGAATAGTTTTACATAATAGCAGTTTAGGAATGCCTACATAGTGTGGTCCACATTCTGGATAGTTATTCAAATATAAATATATAGTATGTCAGCCCTTCCAAGAAGATTGCCATGAAACACTAGGTGCCTGTTTGTTCAGAGAGTACTGAGAAACACAACCAAAGAGAGAATCTCCTCGCTGACATCCAAGAAGCAGAAAACAGTGGAAGTCCACCTGCTCCCGTGTATAAAACCACGGGCGTAAGTGAAGTTCATTTGAAGTTCCGAGCAAACTTCACGTGCAGAAGGCAGTGTCAAAGCCGCTGCTCACACCATGTGAAGGGGAAGGTTAAAATTTCATCTTAGAAGACAACATTTCTGCCAGGACATTCTGCAGAGCCTTGAGAAAATTCAAATTTATGTATGTTCAATGACACACTTTCTGTTATTCTCTAGTTCAGGGCAAGGAGTAAGGAAGGACAGTGTTTGTTTATGGAATTTAGCGTGCCTAAGAAAAAGAAGTCTTTGTTTGAATATCTACCTCCAAGGAATCTAACACACACACACACACACACACACACACACACACACACACACACACACAGGCACACACCATCCCAGGGCTCAGGGGGTCATTGCGTAAAAGGGAATAGGAAGATACTACGAATTACGTGGTGGATGATTACAAGGAAGCAGCGTTTTCTGATCACAACAGGGTAGGAGCACGTGTGAGCTCATCGCGATTATGACAGCATACACATGAAATCCTGAAGCTCAAGCCAGACAAATTTCAGCAGTGGGGTGGGGAGGTGGCCACGAGGCCCCGCCTTCTAGCCGAGGAATTACTGTCCATTGATCACTGCTGGGAGACTGAGCAGACGTTTCCTTTAAGGCCCTGGCACGTGGACCATGCTCCAGGGCAGGCCTCTCTCTGAAGAGTATTTGAAGAGCACAAAGGGGCTGGATGGGTTCTGAGACAGGCAGGTGGGGGAGCTGTGTGGGGGAGTGGTGGGGGGGCGGGCCTCGCAGGGGTTAGCGGATGGGGGTTAAATAGGATCAAAACATTTTGTATGAATCTCTGTCTTTCTACGGAACGTGTGTTTTTATTTCTGTACCATCAGGTTATTCTTCCACATTTTGGAGCTCTAGTTTTGGCACAGAGATATGTATGACTGGTGTGATCGGTAAGTATCTGGGAAGAGGAATCCAGCAACACAGTTCTAAAGAGGACAAGGTTGTGCTCCTTGTGGTATTTTCTTTGAACTGAGGTTTACATTTGCTTCTAATAATATACCCAATTCTGTTTTTCTTTGACTAATACACAACATGCTTTTCCATTATTTTACTTTTGCTGTATAATTATATTTGAAATAGTTTCTTTTTAGCACAAAGAAGCTTTTGTATTTTAAACAAATCTATTTATATTTTGTATAATTATAGTTATGCCAAAGCCTGTCTGACATTTTAATGATGTTTTTTCTTTGTTTTTAGTTTTTTTTAAATTGTGCTTCATGTGAATTATCTAAGTTTTAGAATTCTGCTTTTGCTTTATTTATATTTTGTTTTGAACATAACTTTATTTTATAACTTTTAAAATGGCTAATTCATATATCATATTATATATATGTATGTATATATATATATATACACATATATATATATATATATAAATCACTTGTGTTATGTTATAAACTCAAGTAAAATAGTATATCTCCCCTTATGTCTCTTCACCCTACTCTATTAATAATACATTAGTAAAATACCTTCTTTTTTATTCTATTTGTTGAAAACAGATTCTTTTCTCATATAATATATCCTGATTACAGTTTTCCCCTCCTTATTCCTCCCAGTTCCTCCCTCATCTCCTTTCTCATCCACTCCCTTTCCATCTGTCATTAGTAAAAAGCAGACTTCAAAGACAATAATAAAATCTAACAAGATAAAGCAAGAACTGTAACATCAAAGTTGGAGAAGACAAACCAAAAGAAGGAAAAGAGCCCAAGAGAAGGAACAAGAATCTGACACCCACTTGTTCACACACTGGGGAACACCATAAAAACACTCAACTATAAGCCATAATGTATATGCAGAGGACCTGGTGCAGACTCATGCAGGTCTTATGTGCATGCTGCTTCAGTCTCTGAGTTCATAGGAGCTTTGCTCATGTTGATTTAGACTCTAAATTTTAGAGGGTCTTGTTTTCTTGATGTCCTCCATCCTCTCTGGCTCATACACTCTTCCAACCTCCTCTTCTGAGCTTCCCTGAGCTCTGAGGAGACGGATTTAATGGAGACTTCCATTAAGTGCTGAGTATTTGAAGTATCTCATTCTCTGCATAGTGTCTGGCTGTGAATCTCTCCATCTTTTCCTGATTGCTTCTCTGACATGGCTGAACAAGTCACTTGTGTCTGAGTATAACAGAACATTATCAGGAGTCATTTTATTACTCCCCCCCTTTTTTTTCAGACCACTAGTATTTAGTATTTGGTTTTACCCTAGGTCCCTAAGCTATCTAGTGTTTGGTTCTTGGTAACCCAAGTAGTATAGGGAATGGATTCCATCTCATGCACTGGGCCTTAAGATGAATCAGATATTGAGAGGTTACTTGTACAAGCTTTGTGCCTCCATTAAACTAGCATATCTTGCAGGCAGGAAAGATTGTAGATCAAAGGGTTTGTGGCTGTGTCTTGGTGTTTATGTTTCTCTCTTAGTAACATGTGGAGTACCTTCCTGTACCAAGACGCTAGAAGCAAACAGAAGAGAACATGGGCAATAGCCTTGAACTCACTAGCATGGGAGAAGACTTTCTGAACAGACACCATTAGTACAGGAACTAAGATCAACAATTAAGAAGTGGGACCTGATGAAACGGGGAAGCTTTTGCATAACAAGGGACATCATCATTAGAACAAAGCATTAGCCAACAAAATGGGAAAAATATTTTTTTTTATCAAATATACATCCTATAGAGGGCTGATACCCAGAATGTGTGAAGAACTGAAAAAATGAGATGTCAAGAAGACTATAATCCAATTTAAAAATGGGGGTACAGATGTAACAGAATTCTCAGTAGAGGAAACTCAATGGCTAAGAAACACATGAGGAAATGTTCAACATCCTTAGCCATCAGGTGTAGATGAACAATCTTATTAAATAAGAAACACAGAGCCAAATTCAGAGTTAAAAGCCCAAGAGGTCAGAGCAGTAGCTAAGAGCTAGGAAACCCTTTCTTACCCTTCACTGCCACTGCTGTCCTACCTCTCGGCAAGAGAGCTACTTCCTGTGTGTTTGTCCTTTTTATTGACTTTTTGTTCTGCCTTCTCATTGGTTGTAAACCCAACCACATGACCTCCTCATCACTGCCCATCTATACAGACCTCCAGGTCTTCTATGGTTGGTATTGAGACTCTGCCTGTATCCTTGAACACACAGAGATCTGCCTGTCATGTGATTGGGATTAAGGGCATGTGCTACCACTGCCAGACTTCTGCTATGGCTTGCTATTAGCTCTGACCCCCAGGCAACTTTATTTATTAACATACAAATAAAATCACATTTCAGTACAAATAAAATATCCCCATAATCAGGAAAATGCAAATTAAAACTACTTGGAGATTTTGTCTTATACCTGTTAGAATGGCCAAGCTCAATAAAACAAGTGACAGCTCATGCTAGTGAGGATGTAGAGTAAGAGGAACACTCATCCATTTATGGTGGGAGTGCAAACTTGTGCAGCCACTATGGAAACTAATGTCACAGTTCTTCAGGAAGATGGGAATCTACTACCTCAATATCCAGTTATGCAACTCTTCTGCATATACCCAAAGAATGCTTCTCGCTACCACTGAGACACTTGTTCAATTATGTTCACCAATGCTCTAGTTATAATAGCCAGAAACTGGGAACAATCTAGATGTCCCTTAGTGGAAGAATGAATAAAGAAACTGTGGTACATTTACACAATTTACTCAGCCATTAAAATATGACATGAGATTTGCAAGTAAATTCGTGGAACTAGAAAAAGATCATCCTGAATTAGGTAAACCAGATACAGACATATAAATATGATATGTATTCATTCACATCTGGATATTAGCTGCTAAGTCAATGATAACCAAGTGATATTCTGTAGAACTATATAGGGTGGGATATAGAATAAGAGGCTGGCACATACAAACAGATCTCATTAGGAAAAAGAAGTAGAATAGATATATATGGATGGATAGGGGAGGGGCTGGAACAGGAGAATAAAGTATTTTCTTTATTTAATTTAGCATTATTTTGTATTGAATTACTCTTTGTACATGAGATTAGGGTATTGTATTTCTATTCAAAATAATTATCTTTGTTATCTACCATCTCAGGATGTCTTATTTGCCTGTTAATTCCTAAAGAATGTATTTTCTGAAAACAGACCCTAGTTGGTAGATTTCTTTTCTTTGAACATTTTGAGTCATAGTGTCTTTTCCTTTGTTCTCCATAATTTCTGATGGGAAATTAATTTTCATTGTATTTGTTTTCCTTTGTGTATAGAACCTCCACACACAAACACAGAAACATATCTCTGCTGATATCACTTATTCCCTTTTTGTATTGAGAATTAAAATTTTAATTTTGGTGTGTCTTTACACAGGTTTCTTTCAATTTACCCATTAATTCCATTGTATTATTTTTTCTAAATGTTCATGTCATCATCCAAATTGTTTTCAGTCATTCCTTCCTGTAACTTAACTACATTTTCTAGTTTGCTCTCAAGATATTTGCAACATGAAGGTTAGGTGCTGATTTCTAGTTTCACATGTCTCTAAAACTGTTCATGTTTCTTTTAGACTAACATTATCCAAATTTCAGATTGAAGACAACATAATTTTTCACCTTGCAGTTCAACTATTATTTTATCAGTTTTAAAAATTCTACAGTGGAACATGTTGACTGAGCCTAACAGTGAAAATAGTTCCAAGTATTTGGGTTTTCAATTCTAAAATTGGTAGGTGTATATTCTTTTGCTATTATTTGTTGAGATACCCTATTTTTTTTTCTTGTTCTTGTTCAAATATTTTCTTCTGTTTGTTGGAAGCCTGCTTGAAACTGCTTATTGGAACCATAGGGTCTTGTTAAACTTAATTTTTATTTTATTTATTTTATGTTTATGGATACTTTACCTAAATGTATTTGCATGCAGCACTCTCATTTCTGGTGCCCAAAGATGCCAGCAGAAGGTATCAGATCCCCTGGAACTGAAATTACTGACAAGAGTTGCCAGGTGGATGCTGGGAACCACACCTGGATCCTGTGGAAGAGCATTCAGTATTCCAAACCATCTTTCAGTCCTGTCGTTGGAACTGTCTGTTTGCTTTTTAAAGTACAGCAATTTTAAAACATGCCAGACATCCAGGTCTTTCATGTACACTGACTGTATTTTTCAATGTACTTTGAAATACTTGGTGTTGTTGAAATAAAATAGTCATTTTTCTATCATTTAACTTTTCTTTCTTGCTTTGAAACTTTTGATCTTTTTTAAGGGTTTGTTTAAGCTAGATCCACCTTACAGTATCCCAACAGAACCATATGATTGCTGCCAAGCACATGCAGAAGTCAAGGTTTCCTCTGTTGAAGTGTAAGGAGGGGCCTCCTCTTGCTGTGGGCAGGGCATAGCATTCTGGCTTCTCAGGTGCTTTCTCCTGGCACTGTGATGATTCTCAGATTGCTCACAACTAGATGTCAGTTTAGGACACATCTAAGGACAAGAAATAAATGATCTGTAAGTAGGGTGTGATGAATGGCTCCACATGATCTTGACTAATATCTATGGTGATATTTTATTTTGTACTAAAATGTTATTATGTTAATAAATAAAGTTGCCTGGGGGTCAGAGCTATTAGCAAGCCATAGGAAAGCTGGGCAGTGGTAGTTTACGCCTTTAATCCCAGCACTTGGTAGGCAGAGCTAGGTAGATCTCTGTGTGTTCAGGGATACAGCCAGCATTGGAGACACACACCTTTAATCTTAATACCAACCATAGAAGACCTGGAGGTCTGTACAGACAGGCAGTGACGAGGCAGTCATGTGGTTGGGTTTACAACCAATGAGAAGGCAGAACCGAAAGTCTTTATAAAGACTTTAACACAGAAAGTAGCTCTCTTTCGGAGAGGTAGGACCACCACAGGAGGAAGGGTAAGGTTTTAGCTCTTAGCTCTGACCTCTTGGCTTTCTTCTTTGTATTGGTTCTGTGTTTCTTATTTAATAAGATGGTTGGTTACATCTACAAATATCTCCTTGGAGAAGAACCAGTTGTTAGTCAATGAGGACAAAATTTTTGCATGTTAATTTGATATTCTCTAGTATCACCTCATTATTAAAGCTCCCAAATGTCAAGTTATATCCTGATATATTTTCATTTTCTCATCTCTCTCTCTCTCTCTCTCTCTCTCTCTCTCTCTCTCT